CATACACGCGACGACGACGCCGAGTGTTCTGATTTCTATTTAATGTTTTATTTTATGACCGGCAAAGAATTCCGTTTGATCTGAGGAAAGCCGATTAAACGCGCGCGCGCGCACACACACACACACAAAGAAATAGTATCCGCAAAAACCTTGATGAAGGTTGCGACAGTCCTGCCATTGTTCCCGCGCACACACTTTGAGGACTCTGAATGGAAATGTGCTTCTGTGGGAAGGCTGTCAGATAGAGCCTCTGCCCGCGATACGAACGTCTCCAGAGGATAATTTTACAGCCTCTGCCACTTCCATCACGCCCACCCCCCTTCCCTCCCGCCCGCCCCAAACTCTCCATCTCCCACATACTTAGTGTTGCCACCTGTCCCGGGATTTTGACCTGGAGGGTCCGGAAAATTGGCTTCCGTGAGTTCGCGTGGTGGGAACCGAAGTGATTCGTACCGAGATGTGGCGGTGGCGTTGTGTTGAACTCCGCCATTGTAATGCTGCTGCACTTTGGCGTTCGCTGGCAGACGCAGGCTGACTGAGAAATACGCCTGGATTTGGCCTACAGCGGAAAAGGTGGCAACCCTACACTGGACACCTCATCCTGAGTCCTGAGCCGTCTATGTGAAAAGGAGGAAAGGGGGTGGGGGGGGGGCAGCAGGTAAGGGAAGATTGCAGGTGGAGGCCTAGAGAGCAAAAGAAGAAACCTGCACACTGGAGCGAACTCATTGACCCGGCTGTTCAAGGTCGCGCCGCGTGGCTCGCTGTACTGCGTTCACGGTTGGTTTTTTTCCTCCGACGCGTGTTGGCATCGGAACGACGCACCGAGTGTTTCGCTCCGCGCTAACCGGGAGATTCTTCATTCGGCTCCTGAACCAGAAGAATAAGAAGGAGCTTCTTGAGAGGCGCAGCACGCGGGGCGAAACGTCGGACGCGCTACGTCGCGGCGGAACAACACGCACGGTGACAACCGGGCAAGGGGGTGGTGAGTGGGTGGGGGGGACACACAAAACATCGGAGAGCTGTTTCGAAGAGCCGTGCGCACTTCACCGAAATCTGACGGAAGGAAAAACAAAACGAATACCGGGGCAGCGAATGTTGCGGTGAGTTTTTCTATCGAAGAACAAACCAAGCAGGCAAATTGTTTTACTGAGATGAAGGCAAATTTATATATATTTTTTTCTTTTGTTACAAGAACACCAACAACAAAAAAAATTCCTTTCCTTATTTGGGACGGCTAGGTAGCCCCGTGCGATGGCAGGGGACTGAAGCTATCTGACAGACGATCCCCTCTCGTCTTTCGGAATCAAACGCTCGCGGGAGAATTTTTTTTTTTCAAAGCGCCTGTTTTTGCGATCACAAGCGGGCCACGGAGACTGTGCGAGCGTGTTGTAACCCGACTACAAAGCGGAGACTTCAGGATTATTACAGGATTGCAGCCTCTGGAGGTGGGGGGGCGGTGGGTGGGAATACTCTTTATTTTATTAACTGTACTTTTCTTCAACGTCGTCGTGAAGATTAAAGTGTTGAATGGATGACAGCCAATACCGTGGCCACTTTAAATCGGAACGTCGTTTTAAATTTTAAAACGCTACTTATTGTAGAGTTGGTTGAAATATATAGTTTGTGTTTTTTTGGCGTTTGCTCGAAGCTAAGATCGCGTCCTTTTTTTAAAGGGCTTTGCCAAACCACCAAAACAAAGCAACTGTGCTGCATCACATTACGCCAATAAACCTGTACGACAAATTATTCCCTATATTATTGGTCTATGATGGCTATATTCCACTGATGATTCCTAACAAGGATGCGGTTGTTCTAGAAATAAATGTTAACAACAACAATGATCACTGATAGTTGTTCATAGCTCATTGGTCAATCCACTGCTGGATAAAGGCCTTCCCCAGGCTGTGGGCCTTTCTTGACTATACTTCACTATCCTGGTCAGTGGAGGGGCGGGGTGGGGGGGGGGGGGCTTAGGACTGATTCGGATATCGCCACTAACGAATAGCATCGGCCCGAAGTTCAACTCAGGTGCCCGGAGGTTCACAGGGCACTGTTATAACCTCTACGCCACCGCTCCACACGTTACGCTTTACATGCAAACACAATGCACTCGCATGTTCTATGCAGTATGGATATTTTCAGTGCCCTTGGAATGGTTTGCTATGCTACAGCACTCTAAAAAGTGTTACTACTATTAATGGCATTGCATTATGTGTTGCATGTGTAGGCCTGAACAATTGTCAACGTGCACTCTCACGAATCCAGTCCAGCACGGGTGCGCCGCGCTCATCACGCAGGGCCGCTGTTTTAGGCCGACCAACAAAACTGGCTCCGACTCCGGGATGGAGTTGGTATTCGTGTGTACACATACACACACATATATACGTTACAGGTATACATTCACACAGCGTGTACCGGAGATACGAACGCAACCGCTGCTGGTTGGCTCCCTGCCCCGGTTCAAGTCCAGGCTCCAGACCTTTCTGATCTCTCTCTCTCTCTATACACATATTGATACGTATGCGACATGAATACGGCCCGCGCCGTCTCGAGATGCGCTCACGTTCGCACGCCGTACGAATCCACCTTTCAACCGCGTTGCGCGGCGATCGCAACCGAAAGGCTCGTTGCGGTTGCTTCTCGGCCCGCTTGGGAACGCGTTCGCCCTCCCGTTGCGTCGCCGATACCGGGCAGCACGGGAGATTCTCCGCCACGCCGCTTCTGGTCGCAGTAATGAAGGGGGTCACCTGCGTGGCACTTTGCCGTCAACGCGTGCACAGGTGTGTGGGCTTAGCTGACGACGCAAACAAAAAAAAAATGTGACCGGATAGCTATTGCGGATGCGCGGGCGTGTGCGCTCGTAAGCATGTGCGTGTGTGTCAAGCACACGTGTGTGTCAAGCACACGTGTGCACCCTTGCACCTGTAACCCAAGGGTCGTGGTAGGGCAGCGGTAAGCGCGCTGCGCTACAAAACCCGGCCGACGCCAGTGAGGATTATCTGAACCGGTGCTGAGCCTCAACCTAGGTCGACTCGGTGTGTAAACATCGCCACTGGGGAGACAAAGGCGGCCGAGCGTGGTGCTGGCCACGCACCCCCTCATGTGCCGTGCCGGCCGTCATCAGTGCTCGCTAAAAGCACTTGCCCCAAACAGTTTGTTAGGGGAGATCTTTGTCTTTGTGTCAAGCACACTTTGTGCACCCTTGCACCCGTGTAACCCTGCATACGCAGCGCTAAAAGCTGAAAATACCCACCCTGGTGCTACCGTGCAAGGATCCGTTCCAGTTGATGTTTACGGCTCTTCTTTGACTTTGCTCGGTGCGATGTTGTGACATTGCGTTGTTGCGTAAGCTCGACGAGATTGCGCGTGAGACTCGCTGGGTGGTTGGAGGCGTTGTAGTTACCGTTCCCAGACGCCCCAGGAAAAGTTTTCCCAGCCGGTGTATCTACGTTGCGTTGAACTTGTTTCGCGCCGTAAGTAGCCAACAGTGCTAATTGGATGTACAGGGGAAGGGCAGAGAACTGAACACAAAAAGTAGTTCTCAAGAAATGAGTTTTCAATCTCGATTTGAAAGTGCGTAGCTCCAGCGGCCTCCTAATTTCGGAAGAAAGAGCGTTCCAGACGGCCGCTGCTTATGACCCCCACACATCCCCTGGCTTTTTAGTGAGACGGAGAAAGAATTAACCCGAACCGATTCAAATGTTAAGAGTTGAGGAACTCACCTTTTTTTCTACTTCAAATAATTGTTTCTCCATAATAGAGGTTTTTTTGGGTTAGATCGTGTAAATATATAAATGTGTCGTTAAAACCCGCCACCAGCGACACAGCCAACTAGTAAGGGTTGTCACGTAAACAAAAATATGCCAATTCGTCACTAGTATAGCACACCGGCGTGTTGGAGAGCCAAGCCGAAACATTTACAATGTAAAAGGAAGAGAGTTGCAATGTAAATGCAGATGAGCACATTCAGAATCAGAAGAGTATTTCCCACCGACTAAAGCCCACTGAGGTGAGGAGCTCTTTTTGTCAAGGGGCGACTTGACCGGCAGACAGACAACACCGAAGCATTCCACATTCAATCTCAATGGAACTCACGTGGTTACATGAAGCGCATAAACAGCTGTAACATGATTAAAAGTGACGTCTGTTCCTCTTGTACGCGTGGTCTCTGTGCGCAAACATCACTTAAAAAGTGTTCGATCACACAACAACCGCCAATCGCCACTAAGTGGCGGTGACGTCACCGCGGCGCTTGTGCCAGGCCATGTGCACGTCGATGACAGACACACACGCGCGTGCCGCTGTTCACGCCGGAGCCGTTTCGTTTGTGTCGGAATTGAATCCTCGCTCTCTTAAGTTTGACCCTTTAAAAAAATCTGCACCACATTGATCAAGAAGCAAACCGCTCGTGTAAATGCACCACCTCGCCTGCTGGAAGCGTCGCGCAAGCGGGTGTCCGCCTGGCGGGAGCATATCTCTGAGTGTGTGCCGTACGTACGCACGTACGTGCGTGTGTGCGTGTGTGTGGTGAACTTCTTTCGCAAAGTACGTCGCAAAAGTTCCGGCACCACCACAAACGCTGCGCGCGCTCTCTCTGTGTTTCATCGTCCCGTAGAGTCCCTAGGCCAGAGCAGAAATCGGTGCCCACCCAAGGTGGCAAAACACTGCCGTTTATTTGATCGAATCCATGTCGTTAAAACATTGGTCACAGCACCCTGCAGGTGGCTCGTGGTGGAGTAAAGTGTGGGTGCTCCCCAAACCGCTTCCAAGTCATTTGTCCAGCATGGAAGAATAGGCAAAACACCTCCCTTAGCAGACGTGGCATGAGCAAGCAATTGCAGCGCTGCGCCGTTACCTTTCTTTGTGGCTCTTCCGCCAATGTTGAGGACGAAAACACATTTTAAGGCCACGTTGCTGATGGTCATTCATTGCGAGATACGATTGGGTATTCACGGCCTGATTTTGTTTCTTTATTACCCCAGCGCCGCTGTGGGCCTCACCTGAAAGTCGTTGGCCTTGTTGTAGTGGAGGTTGAGCGCACGGAAGAGCTCCGAGTCGCGGGTAACCGTCAGCTCCTCGGGGTTGGACACACCGTCGGCCAGCGACTGCCGAGCAAACTTCTCCATCTGGATGTAGTAGAACTCGCGGAAGTTGCTGAACCACTTGATGAGCTGCGACGTGATGCACCGGTTGAACTGCGGGCACGTGGAAAGACGCAGCGCACCAAGCAATCGATCGTCAGGATTTTATGCCATGCAAGAATTGCCAATAGTTTACGGATAACTACCAGTGGATGGCGGCATCGACGATGAGAAACTGATCGTCAGGATGATACCATCCAACTAGATTTTTTCAAGGAACGAGGCATCGATCGCTGCTCAAAATGTGCATTGAGGTGGTGCTCACCATCTGCTCACAGGCCTGAAAAGCCAGTGGTGGAAATTCCACATCCCTGTGCCAATAGTGAGTCTTTCCCGCAGGACAACCCCCTGTTGACGTCCCCATAAAAAGCGCTACACATTGTATTGACCCCGCAGAAGATGATGGGCCGAGTCAACCCCCGAAGCAGGACTTGAACTCGCAACCTTTCGCTTCTCTGCGCCGCTCGATCTGCCGCTGAACAGCCCTGGCCCGGACTCGTCCAGATTCATCCGAGAAACAAAGTCACAGCAGTCAAGCCGAGCTCGGGCACTCTGGGAAAGGTAACGATCCTGTTACGAATGGCAGTGCAATGCAGCACTTGCCATGAGGAAGACTGCTGCTGTAGTTGGGGCAGACCACTCAAGTTCCTACCTCGTTGTCTTTCACAGAATGTAACTTGGAGCAGTCAGATTGATTGATTGATTGAGCCAGCATTCATCGATTCACACCGGTCACTTGGTCACCCAGCAGTCAATCACCTCCTTGTCACTCTTCTAGCTCGACTAACATGGTTACTGGTTCCCGTAAACTTTGCGCATTGTTTCCTCCGCCCGTGTTGAGAACGCGATCTAACGGACTGACTCTCGTTTAATCCACACTGTATTTATTTTTTTGGTCTTTAGTTTGTTAGCCCCCCCCCCCGCACCGCACCGCCGATTAGCACGGTTGGCTATGTACGGTGAGAAAGAAGTTCAACATGCATACATACATACATACGTATTGAGCCACCACACTACAGGTCACAACACTTCGATATCTGCGACTCATCCTGCACTGTTAGACTGTGGAATTCCCTCCCATTATCTGTTTACTCAAGTTCGTATAACCTTGCTCGATTCAAGAAATATATTAAACTCTTACCTATTATACTCTGGTTATTTGGCATTTGGGGCCATTGTGCTTATGTTAGGCAAATATTATATAAAAAAGATGTAACTTTTACTTTATATAGCTGGAACATAATGGCATCAAGGTCAATGTAATTTATTTAACCCTGTAAGTTATTATTAAGATACTTAACTATTTCGCCAACAAGACCTAGGAAGCATGGTTGTGTTAAAAAAGCTAACTTTGTTTATTTTCATTTTCATTCAGTTAAGTAACTTTGAAATGTGTGATGCATGTGTGCACACTTTATTTTACTATACATATTTTTTTTAAGTCTCGAACACAGACGTGTATCTCCAGCATGAAAGAAAATCTTACTTCGAGGATTTCACGAAAAGTTGGGTGCAGTTACACTCCAAAATCTTGGCATTCGAATTTGTTTCACGTAACAAAAATCTTCAAGGTAGTAAGTGTTACATGTTTGTTTCCAGGAATTATAACGTTTTGACATGCGTAATTAACGTTTGGACAGCTTTAGTGTGCAATAATTTGCTCGAGCAAAGAATGTTGATGGGAGCGGGGTGTTTAATGTCCTCTGTACGTCGATTAAAAAAACGCCTGTTGGCGTGAGGTCCGTTGAAGAAAACGGTGCCCTCTGACTGGGCGTTTCGCAGCCTTTTTTATTATTCGGAGTCTTAAATCTGAAAACTGGCAAACGGGAGAATTATCGGCACCGCTCATACCACGAAACATTCTTGAGTACAGATAGGTCAACAAATGTGGCTGGGAAAAAGAAAAACACATTTATCGGACTTTTTTTGTTTTTCTTTTACAGAGAGCCGTATGACTTAAGACTTTAGGACATGACATACTTTTGTAGTGTTTATGAAATGATCAGTAAACTGTACAGTTATTTATTGCAAGTCACAATCATCATCCTCAGCCATGACCAATCCACTGCTTCATTCAAGCCACCCCCCCACGCCCTCAAAGCCATTGCCATCTCTGAAGACTAAAACAATGCGAATACATGCTGTCACAAAATGGGACGGTTTTTTTTTTTTTACAATATCAAAGAAGTGTGAAAAAATAGGTTTCACCCTTTCTGGCAGTAAAACAGGTGCTAAGATGAATAGGTTTTTACCTATTCTTATTTTTTCAAACGCCGTCACGTTTTCCAAACATCTTTTTTCCTCACAAATTGCGATTTTATTTGCGGTTCGTTTCAACGGTTCGCGTCAATGCCGAAACTGAACGCAAACACAAATAAATCTCCCCCGAACGTCGCCTTCGGTCGGATGGGCCGCGCGAAGACACAATGCATCTGCTCGTTGTTGTTGTTGTTGCTGCTGCTGCTGCTGTCCAGCGCACAGCCACGCCACAGATTTCAGACTCGATACAGGACGGGGTGGGGGGCGGGCGGGCGGGGGGGGGGACAGCTTTCTGTTGTGGAAACTCGCCCCGTTTGCAAACAAGCCGCGTGAGTGTGCCCGTCGATACGTCCCACAGAGCCCAATGCTCAATTTCTCGGGGCCCGCAAAGTATCACCGCGGCAGATCTTGCACGTTGTGACTCATGCACGGCCCCTCTCTTCCTCCACACCGAGTTATTTACAAAGCGCCTTTCCGCACACGCCGACCGACTGCGTCGCACTGTATCTCTAGGAGCCGCGCTATTGGTGCCGTTTTTCAACGGTTACAAAATGTCAAGGCGCAGCCCTGCAACGGCTTGCTCTCGCCACCGCTTCCGCTGCTGCTGCTGCTGCTGGCGGAAGGGACTCCACCAAGCGGGAGCTCCAGAGAGGGCCCTCCTTGTCGGAGGGGTTTTGTGGGCGACTCTTACACGGCTTAGCCAGACGCCGTGGAAGAGGTGGCATTACCCACACTTTACTCCACCATGCGTGAACCCCCGCCGAGCGACTAACTGCGGTGTTACCCATTCTCACACTGCTGGGTGATAGTGGACAGAGGTGGTTTTGGTGGGGGGGGTGGGGTGGGGGGGTTTGTTGGGGTGGGGGGGGGGGGAAATTTAAGGAACTTGCCCCATTCTTCCGACTGCCGCGCCAGAAGATCAAACCAAACCGCTGACCATCGGATGCGCGGACCGTTGCAGCCACTGTTGGCGTCATCCCAGATAGCCACCCACCATAATTCGGGTCCTCCACTTCGGCGCCGTTAACGTTTGCACGACGCTCAAAACCCACAGACCGTGCCCTTTCGGGCCGAAGTTTATTATAAGAAGTGTGCTTAATCTTAGGCTCACGTTGAAAAGGCAATAATGACGGATTTCGCAAACCAGTGACTCCCACTATCAACCATGGCTTCCCACACAGCTCTAATTGTTTTTTTGAAGATAGTAGGAATGTAATTTTTTTTTTTACTTCACCCCGACATTAGCCGGAGCACATTTTCCGATCCGCTGAAACGCTCTGAACTGAGAGTGATCCTGACGATGTGCAGGCAGTACCCTCGCTTTTACGACGGATGCAACGCGTTCCTGGAAACCCCGCCGTCGTAAACCGGACCACTATTTTGCCACAGACCGGAGTAAACGTTCGGAAAATCACTTGCCGATGTTTTTATTTTATTTTATAGGCCGTAAATAACGTGGGTTAACAGGTAAAAATCCACAAAAACACTCCAGAATAACAAAAAGCTCCCACGCCAAGTCACGTCGGAAACCAGACCGACGGTTAAAATACCTTCGGAGTCGTGTTATATAAAAGTTGTAATTGTGGGTCGTTGTAAATCGGACCGTGGTAAACCAGAAACCGCTTGCAAGTTGATCTTCTAGCAATAATAATAATATAATAACATAATGCTAACATCATTTGATTACTCATATTACCATCTAAAGTGTCCTGCATGCTCATATACGCAAGGACCTGTACTCATCTGCATTGGCACTTCAGAACCAATAGGGGATTTCGCTCCACGTTTCTATGGCAGGGACCAGTTATTCCACCCGATGGTATGAAAGTTTTATTTGAACAACTGGCAAAGGCGTGAAGTTGAGGAAGAGGTTTGGCTATGTGGCGGCGTAGCTATTGAGTGTGATGATTGTACAACTCCATCGGTGGGCCATGTATGTATATCGAACTTCTTTTGCACCGTACTTAGCCAACCGTGCTAATCGGAGGCGCGGGGGAAAGGACAACAAACTAAGACACAAAAAAGCAGCGCTATGGTGAGAACTTGGGAGAAGAGACGTTTGGCGGAGGGAGGCGGCGCGTCGACACGTGAGAGGAGACCGGCAGCGTGGTGGTGGTGGTGGTGGTAGTGGTGGTGGTGGTAGAACGCAGTGCGGATGACAAAAAAAACACAAAAACACAAAAAGCAGTTCGAAAGAAATGAGTTTTCAATCTGGATGATTTAAAAGTGCGTAGCTTCAGTGGCTTCCTAATATCGGAAGCAAGAGCGTTCCAGACGGCCGCAGAAGCGCATCTGAAAGCGCGCGATGCGGTGACCGTCTTTGTTTGATGGCCCAGCCAAAAGCCGCTGCTGCGAGGACGACCGGAGTTCGTGTGATGGTGGTTTATGCTCCTTGGCGAGATCAGCGAGGTACTGCGGTACATTTGTGGCAAGCACTTTGTGTGCGATGAGTGTGACCTCAACCGGAATACAATGCAGCTCGGCAAGCACTCGATGGACACGGTGGGATCTCGCAGTGCCCGTCACGACACGTGCCAGAGAATGTTGTACTGCAGCCTGGTAATGTTTTTTTGCCAGACGCCCCATAGATTAGTGAGTTGCCTTGACCGAGCCTCGTCGATGCTACGCTACGCGCCACCGTGTTGGCGATGTCACGACCATGGACCGCAGGGGCTCGGGAACTGGGCTACAAAGAGGGGTGGGCGGTGGGGGTGGAGGAGTGGAATTGGTCAGGGGACACCATTAAATAATATCTTGCGCCAGGGCTCATGCGAAACCAAGCTAGGGCACCGAGG